TTTTAACAAATTTTAGCTCTTATTTAACTTTTGTTGTAGTAATTAAAATTTTATAAAAATTTATATCTGATCTACATTTATATAGTACTATTTACAGCAAAAATTTCAAAACTCTAGCATTTTAATTTAAAAAGTTAAGGGGGGTGGGATATTTATGATTCTGACTATACAAGTATTAGCTTACCTGGTTATTCAATAAACACCTATAGAGATATGAACCGATTAAGGTTTAACCGGCTAACCGATTTGAATTAGATATATACGGTTAAATGGTTGAAAATTATGATTAACTAGTTAATTTAATATCATATAGCAACAAGAAATAAATTTTCATTACTATGAAACTTATTGGTCTAATCCTAAGAACTATGCCAAATTTAATTTATTTATTAGTACGAATCTCTGACAAAAGTAAATACGCACTTTTTCCAAGATGCACTTATGGTGGATCAACTGTAACAAGTTACAAGCGCAATTGGTATAATTTATTTATATATATATATATAAAATAGTATATTAATATATTAACAGATATAACACATTACTTTTAATTCGAAATCTATTTAGTTTAGATGCACTAACCAAAAAAGTCAGGTAATTAAAATCATAATCACGCATGTAATAACAAATAATAATACCAAAATATAGATTAGGCTATAGAGAGGCTGTGTAAGAAAGCATATAAATTCAAATATCAAATTCATATGAAAAAAAGAAATAAAGAATTAGTATGGAGAAAATCAAATGATGCAAGAAAGAAAAGGAAAAGTTTATAAAATACTTTCCACTGCCAAGCCTACAAGCCCCAAAATAGATCGAATCTTCTTGTATTCCAAGATGTAAATTAGATATAATGAAGTAGATAGAAGAGTTTATATTAAATTATAAAAAGTATAAAAATAAAATACTTTTACAATCAGGTTAAAATAAAATTTCAAAATGAATAATCAATAAAAATCTCCTTGCTTCTTGTTTTTATTTCCGTATATTGCCTTAGATTACAAAGTTCTTTTTAAATTGCATAATCTTTATTATTAAAAAAAAGGCAGTATAGCATGTCCAATATTTCAGAATCAGAAAGTAAGCAAAGCTCACAAATATTAAATAAAACTAATTATAAAAAAAATAAAAAACGTAAAGTACAAATTTCAAAATGCTGGAAATACTTTGTTTAATCTGATAAAAAAACAACATGCCAAGTCAAAATTAGAAAGGGAAACAAAGAATTGACTTGTGGAAGAACATTTAAATACCTACCTGGTGGGTCAACATCTAATATGAACTTGCATCTTGCTAATGAATATAATTTAGTTGAATTTCAAAGAAATAAAAAAGTAAGCTAAAATTAGATTTATTATATATATATACATACTACAGTATTATAATTAATATTAATATATTTAATTATACTTATAGGATAATATTGAAGCTTCAGGTTCTTCAAGTTCTCAACAATCAATTATAGAAATATTACAACGTATAACCCCTCCTCATAAAGGAATTAAAAAAATTAACATTTACCAGGCAGTTGCTAAATGGCTTGTTATCGATAATCAACCACTTGATACAGTTAATGGAGAAGGCTTTTGTCGTCTTATGCTTCAGATTGATCCTGCTTTTTGCCGGCCCTCCTATAAAGTGCTAAAAAGAAATATACAGTTAGATCTCCATAAATGCAACCTCTCTAAATGCATGTTCTATGAAAAACCTCCATAAATGCATGGCCTTGCTGTGCCTCTACTACATATACACTGTCACAGGCAGAATAAACCGTGATCAACTAAAAACGTGACCCAAACGACGATCGGGTCCCAGATCGGTGAACGATCTGCGATT